TTGAAGTATTCCCTCCCCACCCCAGGCCAAGTGGCAGAACCAGGTCTTCAAGGCCCTTCGGGAGGCCAGGAGTGAGGGGGCCAATCGCACCTCTATCTTTTGATGAACTTGTCTCTTGAACTATACCTCTTGATTGTTTCCTAAAAAATGTACTTGGGGCAGAAATAAAACAACTTGCTGGTACATAGTTGTCCTGTTTTCACTTCTGCATGATTTGTCCTTATTGAAAGATCTACAGAATACAGTACAGTATGTGAATACTGGACTAATCTTTATAAGAATCTAGATGTAATTCCTAGTTCTTATATGTTTTATCTGAGTGCTTCTATACATCAACCAGCTTCAGCCCCAGAAACCCTGGGAAGCATTTTTGCCATCCTCAGAACATTGCATGAACTGACCAGCTGTCTCACCAGCTGACCAATGTGGAAGTACAAATGAGGTGTCCAAAGGGAGACACGGAAGGGTTGTGGAGACTGAACTCATGGATGAGCCCCCCTCAGTGGGGGCTCGCATCTGTGGAGATGGCTGGTGGGGTGATAGGGTTGGTTCCCCCCCAGCATCTTGAAGGTTTTAGGGCTAAAAATTACAGGGGGGGTTTAGACATTTTTAAGGTATGTTTCTATTTTAATTATTTATGGGTTTTAGCCATTGTTGGAGGGATTGGTGTTTTTTCCTTTTTGTTATTGTGAGCCGCCCAGAGTTACCCGTTGGGGCAGATGGGCGGCATACAAGTTTAACAATAAAATAAATAAATAAATGATAATGGGAGATAGCTTAAATAACCAGGAGTCAAAAAAGGCTCCTGGTAACTACATAGACATGTCATTCATTCATTCATTCATTCATTCATTCATTCATTCATTCATTCATTCATGGCAACTTTATGAAAGTAGTGTACCATTTATTGTCCTGGGATTTCCTAAGAATCTCCCATCTACATACTAACCAAGTCCTCCTTGTTTTTTTCAAGATCTGTTGAAATTGTCATAACTGTAGATACAGCTTATACACTTGTATCTTGTACATTTGTTTAGGCCAGGCTACCCTATGCAAATATAATTTTAATTTGTTCAATTGTGAGACAGGTAGCTAAAAGAACACACTCTAGTTTTATTTGCATATTACTTCATTGTAACGTTTACCTGGCTTTCAGATATTTTAAAATGTTTCCTTTTCATCTCTAGAACATCTTCAGTTTCATTCCAGAGTGATAAAATACATTCCAGAGCGATAAAATACAGAAGACTGGGAGAAATTTTCTGGAATACTTCTTCAGTAAGATGTCCTTATAAATCTCCTCCAACAATTAATATCATATCTTTTGAATCAATGCACTGAGAATAAGAAAAAAAAAATAAACACATTGCAAAGAAGCACAAACTAGACAGCAGTTTGTGTGTAAAAGTAGGGGTTGGCGATACAGCACCCATGAACATCAGGCTATTCACCACACCTCCAGTATCCTCCCTCCTCAGTAATGTTGTTTGAAGTCACATATCATGAAATCTCATTTTGAGAATATGAAGGCTATCAATTTTTATGTAAGAGCCTGGCATCTCACAAAATGTGGACAATCTCACATGAATTCTTGCAAAATGTTGATGACCTCATCTGGAATATCATAAAAGTTTGCCAATGGGAATTATGTACTTGCACAAGATAACATGATAGTCCTTGAAGTCTTAGAAAGTTGTCAGCCTTGATGTAAGGTACTTACTTGTGCCTTCCATTGTATGAAAAAGATTTTCTGTCCGTTGGCCCTAAAATCCATACCAAGGAGATAGGAGTAAGTTTTGATCCGCCAACCCAATTAACCTAAGGAGATTAGGAGGCTGGAGAATTTCAATTAGCAATTGTGAGACAGGTGGCTAAAAGAACATGCTCTAGCTTTATGTTACCTCATTGTAATGTTTACCTGGGTTTCAGATATTTTCCTTGCTGATGGAGTCCTATCCACCCTGAGTTCCAGTTATGAGCATAACCTCCATGATAGCCAGAGAAAAGTCCTGAAATGAGGCATTTTTGTGATGGGTAGATTTGGATCTGCTGGATCCAGAATCTTTCTATTCCTCACTGAGTTCACTTTTCCATCCAGTGAACATACTGAGAAATGTCAATGAAGGTGTTGGTTTTTTTTTTTTTTAAGCTAAAATCCTTTTCCAGCCCTGACCACTTTTCTGGTTGCAGGACTGTACACATAGGAATGACAATGGACCTTCCTCTTGGGTCAAGTCTGTGAGTCTCATCCCCAGTGTAGTCACGTATCTGAAGAGATGTACATCAATCCTCTATTTCAAGATACAGAAGGATGAAATATGAGCTGAGAAGGTTTGAAATTGTCCATAAATAATTAACGCCTAGGCCACAGAGTATGTTTGAGGCAAATATTTCAGTTTATAAATCATCCTAGCATAGATATACCTGATAGATAATAGATGATAGATGATTTAGATACTGTATAGATGCAGATATGTGTGTATGTGTTTGCGTGAATATATACACACATACACCCCATTAGAAGACAATAGAAACAGCCTGCCGAGCTGTGGCTAACTATTCTCTCTACTGGTTTTAGCTCTCTTGTATAAACAAAAAATCCTAATAAAAGAAAACAAATGAAAAAATAATTATTATATTTCTTCATCCTATCTCCCAAGATTCACAATACATCCTTGGTGCATTTTCTTTTTCCCTTCCTACTTGAAAAGAAATATGAGTTCTGCTTCCATATGTCCCACTTACATGTGCACAGGTATGTATGTCTGTGTGTTGGCAACTTTCTCATGGTCAAGGGCTGCGCCTTTCTTTCTTTCTTTCTGAGGTCCATGGCGGGGAGCACTAAAGGTTTAGAGCTGTCATTACACAAGTGGAATAGCAAAGGCTAAAGTTTGGGGGCCTTTTTGGGTGGAATTTAAGACACTTATTTTGTTGTTCAGTCATTAAGTCATGTTCGACTCTTCGTGACCCCATGAACCATATCGCACCAGGCCTTCCTGTCCTTCACTGCCTTCCGGAGTTTGTTCCATTTCATGTTCATTGCTTCAGTGATGCTATCTGATCATCTCATCCTCTGCTGTCCCCTTCTCTTTTTGCCTTCAATCTTTCCCAGCATCAGGGTCTTTTCCAAAAAGTCCTTTCTTTGCATTAGGTGGCCAAAGTATCTGAACTTGAGCTTCAGTATCAATCCTTCCAATGAGCAGTCAGGGTTGATTCCCTTTAGGATTGATTGGTTTGACCTTCTAGCAGTCCAAGGGACTCCCAAAAGTCTTCTCCAGCACCACAATTCAAAGGCATCAATTCTTCGGTGCTAAGCCTTCCTTATGGTCCAGCTCTCACAACCATACATGGCTACTGGAAAAACCATAACTTTGATTACGTGGATCTTTGTCAGCAAGGTGATGTCTCTGCTTTTTAATATGCTGTCTAGGTTTGCCATAACTTTCCTCCCAAGAAGCAAGCGTCTTAATTTCATGGCTGCAGTCTCCGTCTGTGGTGATCTTGGAGCCCAAATAATTAGAAGCAGTCTGTTATTGCTTCCATTTCTACCCCTTCTATTTGCCAGGAATTGATGGGTCCAGAT